CACATATAGATATGTAATTAAATCGAAATTTTTTTATTCAATAGTTCTAATTTCTTTATTCAATAAATTTCAATGCTATAAATTAAAAAAAATATATTTTTAAACTTATTTCTAAATATATTATATATAACATAAAGTTATAAGTTTAATAATCTAAACTAATCATTAATTAAATATATTTTTATATTTATATTAAATATTTTCAAATAAATATATCTTCAAAATAAATATTTGAATATTGCAAAAAATATTATGAATAAAAATTGAAAGTAACATAATCAAATATTGAAATGGACATCTTATAATTAATATATCTTTGTTTTAACTATAGGAAGTTGAAAAATTTAAAGTTAACCTTACATTTCATCAGAAATTTATATTTGTTTTATATAGATATATATGTACTTTATTAAAAGTTGGTATTTTTTATTAATGAGAATAATATAAAATGAATAGTTTGAATTATTTAATATGAAATTATTTAATATAAAATCATTTAATATGATTAAAATAATATATATAGATAATAAAATAATAAAATACTTACATTATTCTTTCGTGTTAATTTTTTATTTATATCTTTTTTATTTTATTTTTAAACATTATTTGAATGTTTATAAATTTAATGTTTATAAATAGAAATTATTCTTGAACTTTTTATTATAAATTTAACATGTTTTTAATTTAATGAATTTTATTACTCATTTTGAACTCATTTCTTGAGAGTGACAAATTATTGTTGAAATATTGATTTTATGAATGAATATATAAAATCAAAAAATAAAATAAAATATATAAAATAAAAATATATTTGTTTATATTATAAATAAATTATTGATAATATAAATTATGATTGTGATACATAATGTATGAATATATAATATATATTCATTCTATATTTGTATAATTATAATTTACAGAATAAATGAATACATTTATTATTCTTTATTATACTAATATCATATTATTACATTTATTATACTAATATCTGTATATAATAGAGATTTTATATGTCTAAATAAATATTATTAAAAATAATAAAATAGAATTGTTTTTATTTTCTCTAGTAAAATAATTAATAACATATTTTAAAATAAAATAATTAAAACATATTTCATGTTAAAGGATGTACGTCATGAATGTTTCATTACATGATACAAATAAATATTTATTATTTTTCAAAATAATTTCCTATAAAAAAATAAGTATAAAAATGATTTTTTTTACAAATTTCATTATTTAATATATATATTTTATTGAAATGTGGTTCACTTGTCATTAATTATTTAGTGAATAAAAATACAAAAAAGTTTGAAAAATACTTCTAAAATTTCCACAAAATGTTTTCTTCAAAATAATTAAAAGTATATAATTATATGTAAGCAATTTTGGTAATTAACAATTTAAAATAATTACTTTAATGTTCAAAAATATAAAACAAAATCTTTTCTATTATTTGTTTTATATAAAATTATACATTTATATATATATATATATATATACATACATATATTTTTAAAGCAATTTTTTTAAAAATTATTTCACTAATTTAATTTTTTTGATTTATTAATTAATTTTACAATGGGTAAAATCATTCATTATTTCAATAGGATTGTTTATTTTTGTTATCACATTGCAAAAATGTACAACAACATTTGTACACTTTTTTTTTTAACATTTAATTATATATCTTAAAAAATATATTTTTTAGAATTTTTTTCATGATACAAATGCATAAAAGATTTACTAAAGCTAAAAGATTTTAGTCAAGATATTTGATGAACTTAATATTATGAAACATAATATACCATATTGAGTTAACTAAAATATCACATTAAAAGATTAAATCATAATAATTCTAAAAATAAGTTCTAAAAACTTTTGAAATTTGATTTCAAAAATCTTTTTTGTTATTATATCATTAATGATTTTTTAATTGAAAAAAATACATAAAAAATATAAAAAATGATTGAATATATTTTTATAATTTTTATTATTACAAATATTCTATATTTAATTTTCTTATAAATTTTATTGAAATAATTTTATTAGGAACTTGTTAGTTTTTGTTTTAATAATTTGTCATTTATTTTTCTTTTTATTTGACTATTATTATTTATATTTTTAATTAATTGTTTATTATAATGAATGAAGTTAGATAAATGACTTGATCAGATAAATGTAAAATTAGAGCATAATTTTATAAAAATAAATCAAAAAAGAGAATAACATTTTTTTATTAAAGGCATTGTTTTGAATCAAAACTGAAAACTTATCAAATAAAAGAAAATTGAATTAATTTCTGATTATGGATTATTGATAGAAGATTATTTTATATATAAAGATTAAGTAACAGATATAAAATAAAATTTTTTTTATTTTAAGATTATTTTTCAAAAAAATTAAATTTCAAAATTAATGTTTCAATAATATTTTTGTTAAATTTGAATTTTTTTAAAAACAAAAACTTGAATAGAAAAGAAAAACAATAAAAGAAGAAGATAATAAAAAAGATTTATTCTTTTTTTTTTACTTATTTTTGTATAATAATAATAATAATAATTCATTTCAGATGAAAATTAATTAAATTCTCTTGTATTCAAACTTAATTTTCTCAGAAACATAATCTTAAATGAAAAATTTTATTCTTGTTTTTTTTACTTATTTTTATATATGAAATCATTTTTTATATAATTGTATCTAATTTCTTTAGATAAATAAGATATTTGATTTTTTATTTTAAAAATTCATCAATTAATAATATAAAAAATTTTTTGATTTTTTAAAAATATTACAATAAAAAACAAAATATAACTTATTTAAATCTATAAAATTATATTTTAAATCTTAATTATATATAGACTCAAAAAAAAATTTCATCATAAATTCAAATAAAAAAATTAAAAATTTATAACATAGTTTTTTTTCACAATTCTGATCATTAGCAATTAAAAAAAAAAATTTTTTTTATATATTATCTAATACTAATCCTTTTTATATCTCAAAACAATTCAAGTCGTTTAATCCAATTTTAAAAAATTATTTCATTTTAAAGAATATTTCATATTTTTTATATATTTCATATTTCTCATTGATATATTTTGTATTTTCTATTATTTTTATTATTAATATTTATTATAGTGTTTATTACATTATTTATTTTTTTTTTATTATATATATAAAAATAATTTAAAAAATCTAAGATAGAAACATTTTAAAATATTTTAAAAATTATTATATTTAAATAAAAAAATTACAAAAAATAATTTATATTTTTGAGAAATTTTATACTTAAAATAATAATTTGGTATTACATTATATCACATGAAATGTTAAATTTGTATACATTCAACATTTGAACATTGGTTTGTTCGGTTGCTTGGAGATTTATTTGATTGTTTGATTGCAAATTTGATATCTTTGAAAAGTTTATTATATTCTGCATAGAAAAGGTACTTTTTAATAAATTTTTAATTTTCTAATCAAGCTTTTTTCAATAAATTTATTATTCTTTAAATTCATAATTTTTTTTTTTATAAATTACTATATAGAAACATATTATAAAAACTTTCATAAATTAGGTTACAAAATTCTTCCTTATCCTTTCTATTCTTTCTATTTTCTTTAATAGATTTTCACCTTTTCAAAACCATTTTTTTATTCAAAATCACATTTCCATAAAAAATCTTTAGAAACAGAACTTTTATAATTTAAGTCTTCAAAATGTTTATCACTTCTTTTTTTTTGAGACTTTTTCAAAAAAAAAAAGTATTTTTTCATTAGAATGCCATTAAAAAAAAAAATCATGGATTTAGATGGCCTATTTTTTTATTAAAATTCAAACTAATTTTCAATTATAATAATAATATAAAATAATATAAACTTTTTTTATAAAAATTCAATATACCATGTGGCACAACTTAATATATAAAAAATTTTTGAAACTTGAGATTTGAAGCTGAAGTAAAAAATTTTAAATTCTATGCTTTTACTTTTCTTTTAAAATTTTTATTATAACAAATATTGTATTATTCAAATATTTTGTCTATCCAAATTTATATACATTATGTCTATAATTGGCTAACAGTTATAATAACTATAATTTTTATACATATAAATATATCAATATGCCAAATTTCATTGAAATTAGAGAATAAAGATTATTTATTAAAGAAAACTATATTTATATAACTCAACAAATATTAACTATATTTCACTATATAATTAAACTCAGCTATATTTCTTAAACTATAGAAAATAGAAAAAGATTTTAATTAAATTATTTCACACAGTATATTATTAGTAAATAAGAATATATATAGTAGATAAAAATGTGATATTTTAAAAATTTCAGGATCATTTTAATTTCTCTAAATTAAATTATATATTTTTTCTATTGATTAATGCAGTTTTTAATTCTCTATAAAAATATATTATTAAAAACAGTTGTAATATGATATTTTAAAAATGTTTTATCTTTGATTGAATATTTATCTTATAAAAGATAAGAAAGAAATAAATATATGATTTTATGTATTCACACATTTTATAAAATTAAAATTAAAATGTTTAAACAGACATGAAAATCTATATCTTTTATAAATAATAATGAAATACATTCATTGGTAAAAAAATTTAGAGTTATATTTAAAACAAATAAAAATAATTTTTAAATTTTCAAAACATCTTCCGGAATACATATATACTAAATTATGCATAAAATTATTTTCTATTTTCTATTGTTTAGAAAACTAGCTGAATCTAGTTATATCAAACATCTTTATCATAAATTATAAATTTTCATGTTTCATATGTTACATTTATTTATTTTTCAAGTAAATGAAATTTATATAATTAAGTAAATATAGAAGTTATTTTTTTTTATTAATCATTAAAATTAATATTTTAGAAATTAAAATGATGAATAATTAGAAAATCATGAAAATGAAAGTATTAAAAAAATAAATATAATATATATTATGTAACTGAATGAATAAAAGTTAATTTTTTGTTTTATTCATAAATTGTTTTGCCTTTCTTTCAAATTCTTGTCTATTAAATTTATATTCTTGTGCAATATCTGCCATTAAAGGATCATCAGGATTTGGATTTCTTAACAAACATTGTATAGCATCTAAAAGATTTTTTAATCCAATAGTTGGTTTCCAATTACCTTTAGGTGGCATGTTTAAAAGATCCATACAAATACGGCCTTTATTATCAATATTTGGATGATAAATAGGTGTCTGAAAAGTAATTCTTGGAGGTTCAAATGGATATTGTTCAGAGATATCAATTGACAATTGAAAAATATATCCACTATATGGACTTTCATTTGGTCCAAGAATTGTTGCCGCAAAGTTTTCAAAATTGTCAGATTTTGGATAACATGAAATACCTTCTATAGGATCTTGATTAAGTTTTTCAAATTCACGTTTCAATCTAATAAATCTCTGCATATTGTCTATAATAAAATAAAATAAATATATATTTTCCATTTTTAAGTTAAATTAATTTGATATCAATAACAAACTCATTTTAAAGTTATTATTTTAAATGTATACAAAAAGTCATTTTAAATATATAATTATTATTTACTATTATTATATAACTAAAAAATATAATAAATAAACAGTAAATTTTTTATTAATAAATTATTTTTTTGTTACTTCTTATTTTTAATATTACTATATTTAATTATTTTTAAAAGCAAAATTTTAATTTCTTTTTCAATGTTTAATCTTTGTAAATTATAATTAATTACATATTTGAATCATATAACTATTATTTACATTTTTTATAATATTTTTGATATACATTATATATATTTATATATATTTATATACATATTTCTTACCTATTTGAATTAAATTCAAATTTTGTATTCTAATTGTTTAATTGTTTTATATTATAATTTAATTATAATATTTCTATACGTATTATATAAGTAGTAAACAAATGCTATACAATAAAATACAAGTTTATATTTATAAATTTTAAATATTAAATTATTTTATAAATTATAATTTGTTGTGTCTCAATATATCTTAAATGTGTATTGTATCTATATGTATTGAGAATATATTTGGCAACATTGTTCATATTCTTATTCTATACTAACTCTATATTTTTGATATAGACAATCAAGTTACTAAAAGTTACTAGTTTTCGTTCTGCGTTTTTATGAAATATTTATTTATAATAATATGTTGTCATGATAAATTACATAAATAAGAATTGAATTTAATTTTTCTTTTTTTTATATATAGCATATATATATATAATAGGAATTAAAAATATAGATTTTGATTATTAAAATTTACATTAAATATCATATATATTATAATTTTCTTTTAAATTTTATAAAATCAAACTAGATAATTTAATAAACTTTTATATGCAATTTATTTATTATTTTTACAATTTCAAATAATTATATAATAATTATTATAGATTTTTATAAATTGATGATGATAATAACTGATGATGATAACACGAGAATTATTGAAAAGAAAATTCACAATTTTATTCACTTCGATAAATTTTAACTACATAATTCAGATTACAAAATAATTGCAATTTTAAGCATTTTCCATATTTGTTGCTAAGTTTTTAAAATTTTATCATATTGAAAAATGATTGTTTTTTTTAATTAATTATAACTTACTTAATTTTCATTAAAAATTTATATTTTTTTTTAAATTAATTCATATATAACTATGTTAAGAAACTATAATTTAGACATAATTTTAATAATCTATAAAAAGATTTATTTTTTAAATAATAAATAATGTTTTGCAATTAAAAACAAATATTATTAAATTAAATTAAAAATATTATTAAATGATTATAAAGTTATAATTTTATTTCAACGTGTCTTTATTAATTAATGTATATAACATAAATTAATATTTAATATTATATAATATTTAATACAATATAAATTTATTAATAAAAATATAATAAAATTATATTGTATATAAAATATAAAATTAATATATGCTAGATATTCCAAACAATATGAAATGACAAAATTGTTTTAGTAATGTTTTATTAGTATAGCAAATAATTATTAATGTTCTTAGCACGATATAATAATTTACCATATTATTTTAATATATGTATGTAGATTGTAAATAAATGAATAATAAAATGATTACATCATCGTCAATTTTTGAGAGAATTTTTATTTTCATTTCAGAATATTTTATTCTCACATCGACAAATAATTTGCTAAAATTAAGAGATAAATTTTGTTTAAAAAAATTTTTTTATATTAATTATAAAAAGTTTATTATATTTTAATAATTTTAAAATAAATAAGATGAAATTTGATGCATTTAAAGATTTTGATTATAATTGATGTTATATATTAATAAAATTACAACAAATAATAGAATATATTATATATATAAATAATGTAATACTATATATATATATATATATATATAAAATATGTAACAATATAAGTATTACAAATATTATTAACATAATGTAAATATACAAATTTTACAAATGTTACAAATATTATCGATTATAAATATTAACTTTAGAGTGTTCGTAATATTAATAACCCCTAAAGGAATCATTGAAAATGTCATTAAAATATTATCGTCAAATTGATAATATTGTAAATAATTACATGTTAAATATTAATTGTAATGTTATATATATACTTCGAAATTATCAAAAATTTGAAAATAAAAAATAATAATCGTGAACTTTTGTATCCATAGAGAGATCGTTTTATTTTTAGAATAAAAATTGATTGAGTATAAAATAATAAACTGGATATTCATGTAAATATAATATGTCAAAATATATAAAATATATATATATGCAAAATATATACAGTATTATTCGAAAGGAATATGTAAAAAATATAAGTATATATCTATATAATATAAATCATTTTATTATTTTATTTACTATAATTTAAGTTACAATAGTTTCTTCTATGTTGTTTGACATCTCTTGTCTGATAATATTAATTTGTACATTGAAAAAAAGAATTTCCTACATTATACAATATCATAAAAGTATGAATATTTGTATCAATGATGTACAGTATAATCTTTAATAGCTATTAATCTTATAAAATATTAATAATTTATGTATTTAAATTTTCAATATAATTTCAATCTTATTTATTACTTATTTCGAAGTATATTTTTAGAATCAGTATTAAATTAATAAATTAAATTAAAAATAATGCTATTTTATTCAATTCTTACATGTATTTATAGTCGACGTTCAAACGGAAATCAGACTAATATAAACGAATATGAAAATTTATACACAAAAAATAATATAATATAATATAATAATAAGCACAATATAATATGTAATGTGTAAAATATATACATTATTATGTTATATTATGCAAAATATAAAAAATATAAAAAAAGAATTGTAATTAATATTTTTAGAATCTTAAAATACCAAAAAAATTCTATTTAAATCCTATTTTTCTACTCATTTTCTATAAAAATATGCATTCACAATTTAATTATTAATTTCGAAAAAATTCTAATCGATGAAACATTTTAAAATTATTTCTTAAATGTAGAAGTTGTATGTGTAGATAGTTATATAAATCATAAATTTAAGATTATTAAAATTTCTTTGAATATTTTCTCTAGAATAATAATTTAATATCTAAATATTATTCTGTTTTATATAGAGATACGCGTAAATATATCTATCGTAGTTCGTCTGCTGAATTACAAGATAGACGAATACACTTCGCCACTGCAAAACATGGCTTTGAAGACTCATTCTTTCGATCCAGATTGCATAACATTGACGAGATTCGTACTTGCCGAACAACGAAAGATACCAACCGCTAGCGGAGATCTAAGTCAACTTCTAAACAGCATACAAACTGCAATAAAAGGAATCAGTTCAGCAGTGAAAAAAGCTGGTATTACAAATATGTGAGTATTTTACATATTGATGTTTTAATATTTACAATATTTAATTAGTTGTGTATTTTTAACATATAGAGTGAATATAATAAGTATAATTATAAATAAGAATCAAGAAGTAATTGATTCACTATATTTTTAAAATTTAAATTTTTTTATATATAAATCGTTGCAATAATCTCTTTTTTTTTAAATTAATTAAAATAAAATCTATTTTTACTATAGTTTTAAGTATTAAGAAATACTTAGTAATTAATCAAAGATTAATAAAATAAAGATTTTGTTATATTATTAAAATTTTACATATTAAAGTATTAAATTAAATTCTTATATTACAAAAAAATAAGAATAAATAAGTAAAATAATTTATTATCAAAAGTTTATAATGTACAATAAATACAATAAAAGTTTTGTTTTATATTTTGATTAATAAAAAAAAATTGATTTTTTCATTTTTAACAATTTATTCAGAGAAAAATAATAAACTCTTTTACAAATCCTAATACAAATAATATAAAAATATCTCCCAAATTATTTAAAAACTTTTAATTTAATTATTAAATATTCGAATATTAAATATTAAGTATTAAGTATTAATAATTGAACCGTTTGTTCTATGGGAAGAACTTGATAACCTTCTTTTAAATAAACATAGGTACGGAATATCCGGAAAAAAAAACATTCACGGAGAAGAAGTAAGAAAATTAGATATATTGAGCAACGAGTTGTTCATAAATATGTTAACATCTTCGTACACAACTTGCGTTCTTGTAAGTGAAGAAAATGCAGATGTGATTGAAGTGGAGATTGAAAAACGTGGAAAATATATAGTATGCTTCGATCCTTTGGATGGATCCTCTAATATTGATTGTGTAGTATCAGTTGGTTCGATATTCGGGATTTACAAGAAGCCGAAGGAATTGAAAGAGCCTTTAATAGCAAATGTCCTCCAATCTGGTAAAAATTTAATCGCTGCTGGGTTTGCACTCTATAGTTCAGCAACTATATTAATACTTTCGGTTGGCCACGGAGTTAATGGTTTTACTTACGATTCAGCGATCGGGGAATTTATTTTAACCGACAAAAATATACAAATACCTTCTAGAGGAAATGTTTATAGGTAAGAATTAAATTATTTATCATTTTTTCAAATTAATTTAAAACATCGAAAAAGGAAACTTAAAATATTGAATTTTTTTTGAAATTTGAAACTGTCAAATAAATAAAGAATAATTTATGAGAATGTATTATAAATAATTTATAAATAACTATATTTATAAATAACTTATAAGAATGTTATAACAACATAAATTTATATTTATTTAATTAATGATGATTTAATTGAAATTGCATTTAAATTTTAACTCATTTTAATTGATCAATTCATTATAATAATTCATATGAAAAAAATATAAAACATATATAAAAATACAATTGTTTACAAAACATTATTATTGTTACTATTGGTTGAATTAGAAAATTGATTAGAAATCAAAATTGATTAAAATTTTAATTTTTAACGGAATAAATACATCTTGAAAAAAAGGAAGAAAAATAATTCTGGATTGTAGAATTTTGAGATTTTGTATAATTTCAAGTTTGGATTTTAGTTTTGTGAATTTAAAAAAACGAATATTAACTCATTCCTAATTTTAATATATGTATAATAATATAATGATTTTAGTATTAACGAAGCACACGAAAATTCTTGGAATACAGCTATCAAAGCGTACATTCATTCGAAGAAATATCCTAACAATGGGAAAATATATAATGCTAGATATGTGGGCTCTATGGTGGCTGATGTGCACAGGACGTTAAAATATGGAGGAATATTTCTTTATCCAGCAGTCAAAAGTTATCCGCAAGGCAAGGTATGGTTATTTTAAAAAAATAAAAAAATAATGTACAAATAATTTCTGAAATATATAATTATTTATAGCTGCGACTTTTGTATGAATGTATACCAATGGCCTATATAGTGAAACAAGCCGGCGGCTTGGCATCGAACGGAGAAATTGATATCTTGGACGTAAAACCCAAAAAACTTCATCAAAGATCTCCAATAATTTTGGGATCGCAAGAAGATGTCCAAGAAGTTTTACAATACATTAAAAAATATAAAGATAATAAATAGTGGAAAGAAGAAGATAATAAAACATGGAAAAAAGTTATTAAAGATTTTATTACGAGGCATATAATTTATTGACACATTCCGATTTCGTTGATTACCTCTTAAATTTTCATCTTTATCTTTTATTGAAAAACTAATTTCAATGTAAATCTCTAATATCTATATCCCTCGTTACTGATAGATCCTCCAGGAGCAGGTCCTGGAGCTGGATAAGTTGCTGTTCCTTCGTATCGTACCATGGGCCTGTAACCACCATTGTCGGCAATATAATCGACAATTTGTGTTCTACCATCTGGTAATAATACGTGATAAGCTCCAGTTGCTTCGTTATCTTTTCGTGATTCGTGATGGCCAAAATTTAATCCAGCTATTGCGTCCTCGACTTCATATGAAAATTCGTAATTTGCCGGATCCTGAAAAAAGAAAGAAAAAAAAGAAAGAAGACGTGGAAAAGTATTTTATATTGACCACAGATTAAATTCTAAAGGTACGTTTACCGGTATTTTACTTATAAAATTTGTACATTTTACTATAAAATTGTTAATATGGATTACTAAATAAAAAAATTTGTTTATGAAAGTAATATATTCATTATTTTATTCGCATAATATGAATGATAAAATATAAAGGAGAAAAAACTACTTACACCGACCCACTCGTCAGGGTGACCACCAGTAGCTGGACGTGTTCCTGTAGGTGGAAGGTAGGCAGGTCCTTGAGGTTCGCTCAAAATTCCTACCGACATTATTGTTAACAGAAGTACCTGTGTAAAAAAAAAAATCTTTTGCATTTCTTTCAATCCAAAAAGAATACATTACTTGTGAGTTGTTTAAAAAAAGGTTTAAAAAAATTAAAAGATATTTCGTCGAAATGAGATTTATGTTTAATGTTTCTCGATAATATGATTGAAAAAATGCTATTAATATTAGATAAAAAATTCTATTGTTTATGAACAAAAAAGATATTTAAAATCCCGTAAGAAAGATTATGTATAACTAAGAACAAACCTTTCGAATCATTAGCAGGATCTTGCAAGTCTTCACCGAAAGAAAATAGCTTAATGTTATGAAGACGGTGGATTTTATACCGTGTTTTAGGTTGCGGGTGCGACGAAATGGAGATGGAATCACAGTGATTTGGGGGAACTTTAATACGAATCCATACCTATAATTATAGTTAATAATAAAACCGCATTGCCTTTCTGGCTATATAACAGCAATCATTCATTTGGTGAGTTCAGTTCCTGAATCGCTAAAATTCTTACTATTTTCGGTAAGAATTGAAATTATTCAAATTACAGATATTTTATTTTAGAGAAAGATTATTTGAAATTAAAATTTGTTAGATAAATAATATATATTTATTGTTGTAGAAATTGCATTGAAAAAACAATTTTCTGGTTAAATATATAATTAATATATTAATCACATAATAATTAACAAAGAAAAAGAAAATGGTTCGTATTCTTTTTTCTCTTATGTCATACTTTTGTCATATTTTATGTCATAATTTACTTTTACTATTATTTTCATCTTTATAAATACAGCATGATACAAATACAATCTTTTCATATCGTGAATGATATTAAAACATAGTTTACGTGACACGATAATATTCTAACTACTATACAAGCAGTATAAATATAAAAGTAAAAACTTCGTAAACATGATTAACTACCTAATGATTAATTTAATAATGCATCAATAATACTCCTATAGATTCGTATAAAACTTTTTCGTCCTTTGAAACACGTTTCGACAATCTTGTGCGCATTACATAGAACCAAAAATTCGATATAATGAAATTACAACAATAATAATATATGCTAGCATTATAATTAAGAGTTTAAACATCTATAATACTGTTGCGTTTCTTTTCGACATCCGTGGCATCTAAATCATTTCCAAGACTGCCGACTCTTCCTCTGAGACCAATTCCTGGGCCAACTTGTCCTGTAGCTTTTAATTTTTCTTGCATTTGTGCAAGCATATCTTGCATTCTTCTTATCTGTGAAGATAAAATTTGAAAAGCAATTTTAAGAATTGTTTATGAACAATAAAATCATGTATGTACAGTTACAAAAATTTTCATTCAAGTTATCTTAGAAAGAAATTTATCCATTTTGAAAAATAATTTTAAAAATTGTATACATAATGATTTCAAAAATGTAAATATAAATTATAATAGGTTATACACAAACAATTTATTTTATANTTATTATTTTTTAATTCTTAAGCAAATAAATATCTTATTAAAGAAATTTAAAAAATTAAGAATTCATTATAAAAAATAATTACAATTATATTTACATTGCAAAAAATGCCATTTTTTGATTTCAAAAATATTGTTTTATTCATATAGTAATGTAATTAATTTCAATAAAATTGTATAACTTTTTTTATTAAAAAAAACTTGAATAAATAAATAATAATATATAATAACAAATACATATTTTTAGAAATCTATAATTTATAGAATAATTTATAAAAAGAAATTGCGAAAATCATTAAATCATTATAAAAAAACGAGGAATATATAAAATTATTTATAATTATGAATTACTTTACAGAATAATGCATGAAATAAAAAAATTATAAAAAATTATAAAATATTAAATAAGAATAATTTAAAAAAAATTACAAAAAATTTAAAAATAATTTAGATATTGGTAAATCCACAGTTATTATACATCAATTTTTAAATAAATTTTATATATTATGAATATTTTATATATCATAAAACATGTAAGAAATATTATAATATAAATATAAATAAGAAGAAAAAATTGTAATTTATAAAATATATAATTTATAAAATGAACAATGAAGTTTTGAAATGATGTAATTTATGTAGATTTCAAAATAAATTTGAAATACTTCATTATTATAATGTTTCAAAATTTTATTATTTTGTTTATAAACTACAATATTGAAATTATTTTTAAACTTTTTGACAATTTTTGTTGTAACTATTTTTGAAATTCTTTTTTTTCTTTTCTTCAAATTCTTAATTAGAGGAATTCTAAAATTATTATATTTTCACTGTTATGTTTAATTATTAATATATTTAATTATGTTAAAGTATTTATATTAAATTCTAAAATCTTATATAGTGTTTGAAAAAATTTTTGCCTTTTCATAAGATTTAATAAAATTATGATTGTGCAAATGTTTATTTAAATATATATTTTTACTATTTTTTTAACAATTTAAGAACAAATATAGATATTACAATTTCTTTTTTTTCAAATAATAAATAAGAATTTTTTAAAAATATATATTTTATTTATTTATTGAAATTTTATTAATAAATAAATTTTATTAATTTTATTAATTTTAATAAATGAAGTTTTACAATATTTTTATTGAAATTAATTGAAATAAATAACCATATAAATATTTAATTAAAAAATATGTTTATATGAATATATATTTTTGATTAATTGTAAAATCAAATTGATGATTTTTGTAAAAATAGCAAACAAAAATAATTCCATGAAATCATTTTTTATTTTATAGTTAACACTATTGTTTTAGGAAATAATATAAAATAACAAATGCATGCTATTTAAAATTCTTTCAAATGTTATGTTAAATGAAGTTACGCATAATTAAGAAGCACGTAATATCGATTATTCATAATTCTTTGTCACTTTCTTACCTCCTCGTCTTTCTGCAAAAGTAGTCTATCTGTGTCTGATATACTGTTTTCGAAGTGTGGACCCGAATCTCTTTTCAGTTTACTGTGAATGAAAGAAAATAAAATTACTCACTTCTGTTGATTTAACATCTGATTAATAAAATGAAAAAGATCCAAAGATGTGACGAAGAAACTAATATCTTATTTACAAACACAAAAAATAGAAACAACAATAACACTATAGAAAAATAATGAAAAATATAAGGAGAAAAGGAGGAAAAAAAAATAAGAAACTTATTTAAAATACTTTTACTTATTTTTTTTAAATTTTTTTTTTAATTATATATTTGTATATAATTATATATTCGTAGATACTTTATACGAATTTCTATAGAATTTAGATTTAGATTTATCGAGCTTCAAAAATTTATTGAATTTGAAAATACGAAATATTAAAAATATTTTTTAAAAAAGTATATATTTTGGAAATCAAATAATAGTTATATAAAATATACTCATCTTAATCTTCTTAAAAAAAATACGTAAAATATAAACAATTTTTTTAGAAAAAAAATATACAATATTAAAGATAAATCTGTTGCTGTTATTTATTTGATCTTATATACTTAAATAAATTTGCATCAACGAATCGAATTTTTAAATTAAAAACTATATTATATTCTGTATACAAAATGGTAGCACAAATTATGATTTTTAATGTTTTTAATTTTAATAATTAATGTAATATTAATGCAATATATTCAAATTTTATATACATATTTATAAAGTATTTCTTAATAATAATATATTATAATATTCTTATAATATACTTATAATATACTTATAGTATGTTTCTTAATAATATAGAAGAAAATCAATCATTTAATATAGAAGAAATCCGTATTGTTATTTGATAATGAAAAGATTTCTTGATGAAATATGATTGTGAAGATTGCTTATATTAATTTTAGAAAATAAATGAATAAAAAATATCGATTTTTACAAGAATATTTCATTAAAAGAATTTCTAAGATTTTTTCCAATATTTTTACCAATTCTATTGCCTAATGTCATTCTTGTTTAGTAAAATCAAATATAATTATTATAAGATTTTTTTGTTAAAATATATTTTTTTAAAGTTATTTTCAACTTATAATGAAAAGAATGGAAATTACAAAAATAAATTGTATACTTATGATTTTTCGAATATTTAAGACAAAATATTATATGGTAAGTTTTTATTTATATATATTAAAAATTAAATAATTTTAAAATGATATATTTTAGCAAAAAAAAATTGATTAATTATATTATTAATTATATTGTTGATTATAAATAATATTTGATTTTATAACGAATATTATACAATGCAATTGATAAAAAATTATTATCGTTATATTATCGTATTATAGCAAAAATCTTTTCATGTATCTCATAAACCTAACATGATAGACAATTTTTATATTGATATGTTTTATTAAATTTTTTATTATTTTTTGTTATCATTTTCTGTAGTTATTTTTCATATAATCTGATCAAATTTCTAGAAAATATTGTAAACTATAATTGATATTTTTTATATTATTCAAAATATATATTTTATATTATATAAATATCTATGTTATAAAATTGGAATAAATTGCATTAGTCTCGAAAAAAGAAACACTGAGAAACATAAAATATATTAACATTTCGTATATCGAGACATATTTAAAAACTATCTAAATTTTTTCTTAATATAAATCTTTTCTGATATATGAGAAATCTTCAAATTTAATGAATAATAATCAATAAAAATTTATTAACATAATATTATATAATATTATATAATATTATATAATAAATTATATAATAACATATTAAATATGCCAAAATATATATTTTGAATATATAGTAAAAAATGATATTTAGAATACATTCATCCATGCCAAGCAATAAGTAAATACACATATATATAATGAACAAAATAACTTTTCGATACTCTAGAATAATTTTTTCTTACTAATTTAAAAATATAATATAAATATTCTCTTTGTAATTATTTTATATATTTTTTAATTTTTAATCTTGTCTTTTTTAAAATAATATTAATTGTTACTTAAAAATTTTAAACATCTCAAACATTAATCAAAATTTATAATATAAGTTTAAAAATATAAAACATGATTGTAATGTCAGCAAGTGGGATTGTAACGTTATAATATAGAAAAAACTTCAATACAGAAAAATTCGATAAATTATATTATTGTCTTTTTTTTCTATTAAATAAAAAATTGATACAATACATTATGAGTAAATTTAAATACATGAAAAATGCATCAAAAAAATAATTTATATATTTATCATAAATGTAATAAAATAATTTATTAAAAAAATTTTGTAATATTTTATCTTTAGTTTTCTTTACATATAAATAAAAATTATTTTTTTAAAATTTCATTTATTATTATAATTTTATTGATTAAATAAATAATTTAATTTTTTAATCCAAAATCATGAATGGTTATTATTAACGTTTTCTGCATTTTTTATTTTTTATTAAAGATTTGCATATTACTTGGTATACAATGAAATTTATGATGTTATTAATAATATTTAATAAATAAGTAACATCTTTATGTAAGTATGTAAGAATTTTAAGTATGTAATTAATTTTAAGTAACGTAAGAATTTTGTTGTTAGCATAATAGTTCCTGTGTAATCATATTCCAAAGTCAAAATATTATCACTGTTTTCTAATTACTTTTATATTATATTATAAGCATCTTATATACATATATATATATGTATATATATATACATATATGTATATATTTTAATTTTATAATATATTAATGGCTTATGTTAAAAACTCGTTTAATTAATTTTTCGAAAAAAATTTTAATGTCAATAATAATAATAATAATATATAGATTTTAATTATGTTGAAATTTGATTTGCAAGTTTGTTCAGAGACATTGCAAGATCAATTAAATGACAGCATGAACTATTCTTTTTCGTATAATTTATATTATATTAATATTATTCTCTATAATTCTTATTTAAAATATTTTTTTATATCTTTTATATTTTTCGAAATATTTGCTTACAAAACATTAAAAAAAGAAAAAATTGTTCACAATACGTACATATTTCAAGGCGATCGACAAAGTGATTTATCCAAATAAGTATCAAATATCTATCTATTCAAAGATACCACGAGTATTTTAAATAAGTATTAGAAAATATAGATGAATATACATCTAGAGAGAAGATATACCTACTGAAATGCAATACTTATTTACATGCGTAAATACCTCCGTTCCCGAATAGCTTGCTGTGAAATTTGTGAAATGCATTGTGCCCGGAAATTCTCATAATGTACATCTTGTGTGACGTCTTTCAGATCTTGCATGTGTGTAGATATCAGCATTGTCCTTAATTTCACGAAATCACTGTGCTTCGGGTTTTCCACTGCACTCCATTAAAATTTAAATGTTAATTGGAATTCAAACAATTTGATTGAAGTTGTGTCTACGAAGTTTTAGAATTATCAAAAATTAAATTTCAGAAAAAAGTATTATTGCTTCTTAGATTTGAATGTAATAAATTCTAAATCAGTCATAAAATTTCTGAATTTTTGTGTAAAAATCAGTTATCAGAAATTTTATTCAATTCATTTATATTGATATATTGATATAAATGTTTTTGAATTAAAATGACATTTCGTAAAACGATATTTCATTTTTCATCGATGCATGACAATCATAACAATAAAAAGTATGACAATATTTCTGTATTATCGTGTAACAGAATCCGTTATTACCATATATAGATTAGGTTAAGTAAGGTTAGGTTGCACAAATTAAAGATTCTATAAAAATTCAAAATAAGAAAATAATCAAAAATAAAAAAATAAATTATTTTAATGTTTTTTAGTTATTGATAATTAAAATTAAATAAAATTAAATATTCCTAATAATAAAACAAATTTCACAAAGAATAGAATAATTCAAACAACTCAAATCGTAAAATAATTTTCGTTTTATCTTGGTTTGAATCATCATTCTTTAAATTTTTGGATATCTATAGTCGCATATATATAGTCAAATAGATGAAATTTTTCATAAATTAAATTCAAACAATATTATTATACCAATAAATAATAACTAGATAATTTAACCAGTATTTTTTGAAAAAAGAATTAGTTTTAAAACTTCGTTGACTTCATATATATATATATATAGATACATACTTTAAGATTGTTTTTTGTTGTTTGAAAATATGAAATTTAGTTACCTTCTACCACTCCCCAAGGATATTGACGACCACGAACCTTCTTTCCCGCGACTTCGAGCACTGTTGAACTACCGACTACAGCAAACGGAATGCATGCTTTAAGCTCTTTATCTTGTTGCTTAAATTCTTCATCTTCATCGCTATCACAATCCGGAAATTGATATATCTGTATGAAAAAATATCATATTTTATTGTTTCATTTTTAATCTTTATTTTCTTTATAGATTATATTTATTAAATATTAGATTAAATAAATTAATATTAAAATATATAATAATAAATATTAAATAAATTTTGTAGATCGTTTTTAAATGATGGTTACACTGAATTTACATTTCTCATGCTACTTTTTTTTTCAAAAATTAGTTATTTTATTAATATAATATAATATAATATAATATATTATATTAAAAAAAAGAGATGAACATATTTATTGGAAAGAAAATTTTAAAGTTATTTATAATAGAATGATCGAAAATATCTTTTTGTTTAAATTAATACAATAATTTATTTTCAAGCAGTTTATTCTCCAGATATTATATCTTTAATTATATCATTTTTCTTATGTTATATTTTTCTTTTTATATTATAATTCTTTCTTTAATTGATGAATTATCATTTTTGATTTTAAATTATAATATTGAAATAATGTTTCATATTAATTTTAAAATAAATTAATTTTAAAATAAATACTAATTTCTCAAAAATGTTGATCTCAATAAGTATTTTAAAATATTTTACATCTAAAATACAAACTTTTATAAATTATCGAAATGTATATTCGTTTCAGAAAGATAATTATTTATTTCATTCAGTAATATTTTTTATAATATTTATTTCATTCAGCAATATTATTTAAAAAGATAGATATTTGTAGCAATAAATATTTGTAGTCGATAGAGGTAATTAACAATTATATATAATTAACAAAAGCTTCTAATTAAGTAGAATTCTTGTTAAATAGTAAAATATAATATATCAATCAATTAATTAGCACTTTCAATTAAGTTTTATCATATCGACGTGAAATTCTTTCCAATATCAAAGAATGTCAATATATATGTTTTTGATGTTATTTAATAAATATTAGAAATACATTCTCAGCAATTTTTCTATATTTCATTATTAGTTTATAATATATATTTCATTATTTATATAATATATAAGTTTATATAATATATAAAAGACAAATATAGAAAATGATTAATTACAATAATTTGTACAAAAAGATTAAATATCATTAAAAAATTCTGTATAATTTTTGGATATTATATTTTTGTATTTTATTTTATTTTTTTTTTATAAATGTTAAATTTATATTATTTAATATTAATTGCGCGAAAAATTGTACAAATATATAACTTAATTTTTTAATTTTTTTCAAATAGGTTTTTATTATTTTTATTATCTTTATTTTATATATATATATATATCGATGAGATTATAATATTTATTAAAATAGAAATTGTAACAGTTAAAAGATAAAACTGACGATTTTATTTATAAATATTATTAATATTTTAATATTATTAATATTATTAATATTTTGTATATAATTTAGAATAGAATAATTAGTTTCTATTAATTCATTTTCTATATAATTTAATAAAATTTAATAAAAATATTTATATGACAAGAAATTTATGTAATATAAATGTTATATATAATACAAATAAAAATAAAGAAATCATTTAATTATTTAAAGATCCGTTTAGTAAAGAATATCAATTATTTTATTATGATATATTAAGAATTGAGAAAACAAATTGCAACAACATTATTTTAATAAATACTTTAAGGCAAAAAATTCGAAAAACTTAATGATTTGATAAAAAAAAAAATTGAAGAATTGAGAAAAATATATTACCTGAATTTCGTGTTCTTCGATGTCAGTAAGAATTCGTTCTTTTAATTTTTTTACTTCGTAAGTAGTCAATGTGTCCGCCTTTGCAATTACAGGGACAACATTTACTTTACGATGTAATCGTTTCAATACTTCCAGATCAATTTGTCTAAGTCTGAGAATGAGAAAAAAAACAAAAATAAAAACAAAATAACAAAGAAGTAAATGCAACATATACATATAATTAAGCGTTGAAGAGATGTTTGAACATACCCGTGACCATAAGGAGGTATAAAATATAAGCAACAATGTACTCGATTGTCTTGAATATTCTTTCTATTTAATCCACTTTCGTCTGTGAAATATTGTCGAAATTGTTCGTCGATATAGGCTGAACATGCTTTCCAAGTGTCATCACAATTTACTGCATCGCCAAATCCTGAATATAAATTAATTTAATTGCCTGGAAGTTTCGTGACATTTTATATCATTATTATTATTTTATATTTCATGACATCGATATAAAATCATATTTAATACATATAAAATAATTATTTCTTCAGAATTTGAAATTAATTAAATTAAATAATATTAGCCATTATATTTGGCTATTATCTATTTACTATATTATTTTATATAAATTTAATTTAAAAAAAATTAAATATTGAAAATTGAAAATTGAATTAAAAAAATTGATGATTATTTTATATGAATTTAATTTAAAAAATTAAAAATTGAATCGAAACAAAAATAAAATTGTTCATACATCACATATATGATACAAATTTTTCATGAACATTATTTATTAATTTTTATAGAATACTATTCAAGAAATGATTATATATAGTATAAAAAATGATAAATTATATTATTATATTAAAATTATATTAATATTATATATTAATTATTATATTATTATAATATTAAATATTATATTATTATTATAATTATATACTATAATTTTTTTTTATATTTTTATTATATTGTATATATTGTATAAAATATAATTAAAATATTTCTTCCTAGATAGCGATAGCGAACATATTAAACATAAGGAAAGTATTATAAAAATTATTAAAAATATTTTTAAATAAATTTTATAAAAAATATTTGAAAAAGATTAGAAATATTTATAATATAATTAGAAATATTATTTTGATTACATAATTTTATACACATGAATAATTTTAAATCGACTGAAGAATAAAGAAAATGTAGAGACTGCAAATTTGTTAAATTATTGGACAATTTTTACAAACATAAAATAAAATTAGTAAGTTGTTTATAAAAATAAATTATGTAGAACATGAAGAAAATAGATTTATTTAAAAAAATGAGATTATACACTAATCTAATAAATGTTTATTATAGATTATAAAATAGTTCAAATGAAATTTATTACAAGTTATTACAAATGAAATTTTCTTTTAATAAAAATGAAATATACATATTAGATTGATAAGAAAGTTATGTTAATTTTTGACTTCGGTATTATAAACATAAATATTGTAACTCGGTAAAATATATAATTTCAAATTATTTGCAAATCACTATTTATGATAAATTCATTTTATGATAATGATATTAGCAAAATAATTGTATTTTTGTCTGAATTTAGATATTAATTTAAATTAAGTAATGTAACAATTAGACATTATAAGATAACTCATATTTTAACTTGTTTATATTAGATATATGAATTTGCAATTATTCTTATTCTTAATTTTCAATTTTAATATAGTTTATTTAATTTAATTGAATTTTTAACTTTAAGGTTATTTAATCTTCAGAATATAAATAATAGAGGAAAATAATTTGTTGAAATATGATTCGTATCAATTAATTGAAATTAATAATTTTTATTTGATTAGAATTATTAAGTTAATATAATAATGAATTGAGCTAAAATTAATCCAACTATTAAACTACAGTTATTAGATAAAATTATTGAATATACAAATTCTAACGATAAATAAACATAAATAACAATAAAATAAACATAAATTAAAAAACATAAAGTAATTCACGTTCAATGAAATAATATATATCAAGACATAAGGAATATATTAGAATAGATATTTCACAACACAATTTTAATTCATAAATGTAAAAAAAAATTTAAATTATATTACAATGATTGCATAAAATTGCATATTGCATAAAAATTTTCGTTTTTTTAAATTATTATAAAAAAGATATTAAATAAAGATATTTATAAAAATGATATTAAAAAAACAAATTTATATTAATCATTAATATTAGAAAGTATTCGATGATTCAAAAAACTGAAATTATTTTCTGTTAATATTTTAATTTATATTTTTATGATTTAATTGATATTTTTATAATTCTTTTTTGCCTAATTAATTTCTTTAGTTTTTCTTTAGTTTTACAATATTTGTATTTTGTGTTATAGGAGAATAAAAATAATTTATTAGTAAAATTTTTAGAAATAATTATTTGCAATTAATAGTGATAAAACTTAATAATTAGTCATTTAAAATAAATAACAAGAAAATAAATTTTTTTAATTTGACATTTTTTCATTTCTTCAAGTGTTAAGCATTATAATTGAAATGAAAAAATATATGATTTATAGAGAAAATATTATTAATTTTCATATTTCAAAATAATTTTGACAATTTTTGTTTAAAAGATTTTTATAATAATGATACAAATATGTTAAATAATTATAAATTTACGATATTACTTGAGATATTATTAATATATCAAAAATAATTAATGATATAATATTTAAAACGATTAAGATATATGAGTCATTATAAGATATAATCAAATTATGAATTAACAGATAGCTAATACCAAAAATCTTAGCAATCTTTTATTTCATTTGACACAATATTTTTTAATTATCATTTCTTTTTAGAACATTATTACAATTTTTTAAATAAAATTGGATAAAGGGTCAATGCTTGAAAATTTATCATTGAGAAAAACTAAAAATTTTTTTACTTTTCAAAAATTTAATATATCTCAAAATATCGCTATCAACTTCCAAAATAGTTGGATATTAAAACAGATTAAGATTACCTGGTGTATCAACGATCGTTAGACGTAGCCTCACTCCACGTTCTTCTATGTCCATTGTCTTCTTTTCTATCGTTGTTGTTTTTTCAATGCGTTCTAGAAAGAACTGGTTTTGGCAATGATCATCGAACGTGCGACTTAATATTTTTGTACTATTTAGTAGTACCAACCAGCTGCATCAAGAATTCGTCGGTCTTTGTAAAGATCTCCGAGGAAGAGACTGTTTATTAAAGTAGATTTTCCAAGGCCACTTTCTCCTAACACCATCAGAGTGAACTCGAATCCTCTTTTAACCGATTTTCTGTGCACTTGCTCGGGTAATGTTGCAAATCCAATATAGTCCCTGTCTTGATGAATGAATTAAAAAATGATTAAATGTTAATAAATTTTTTTTCTTCGTTTTGCCTTCTCTCTCTTTCTCTCTTTTCTTTCTTCACATTATCCATTTTCCTTTTTTCGTCTCATTTTTTTTTCGAGAGAATAAAAAAAAAAAAGATACAAAAGACCTAAAATTAAACATATGCATACATACCACCGGACATGTTAGCCACGCGCGATGACACTTTGAAAGTGTCAAATTAGAAGCGGCGAATGGACGATGGAACGACACAAGAACACTGTACAAAACGTGAATGAGGGTAGATTGCTACTGTTTTGCCCTTAGGATTGCGCTGCGCTGGCGCACTAGTGGTCACCGATCAATAATATGTTTATAAGTTCAGTTTCTAGTTTCCTGCTTACTCGGCACGTTCGAATTTCTTTTTCTGGATATCGGGATAACAAAATTTTCATTTATTATAATGATAAAATGATAGTGCGTTTCGTTTTATTTTTATTATTTATTATTTATTATTTTAACAAGAATTACTAATTTTTTTTAAAATAGAAATCTTACATGATAAAAGAATTTTTCCAGAAAAAAAAAAAAATTTTCTTTGTCTCGTTTTCTTTGTTAAATTTTTTTTAACGTTCGAAACGTTTGCCTCTTAGACAGACATGTATATACACTGTTTTCCAGAACAAAAATTACGAGAAGAGAAAAGAATTTATCTACTTATCTTATCTACTTATCTTATTTATTTTATTGATTTCGAAGAAAAATTGATTCGAAGAAAATTGATGCAAAGAAAAATGGCGGGAAATTTGATCGAGGTTGAGGGACGAATGAGTTAATCAGTCGATGTTGAAGGGGAAAGGGCGAGGAAATCAAAGATCTAACGAGATTGCGATAGTAAGGGCAATCGTGAATGGAACGCGGTCGACTCACGTAATTTCCGAGGAGGTCGTCGGGCTAGGACGTTTCTCGAGTTCCGGCGCCACGCCTCGAAGTCAACGTTCCCATGAAAAAGGTGAGGAAGGAAGGGGAAAAACCCGGTGGCCGAAGATAGGCGAATGTGAACGAAGATGCTCGTCGCGCGCAACATTACGAATTGACAGTCTCGACACGTGGACATCGCTCTTGTAATACTTGGAACACGAGACAAACCCATCCGGCTTATGTACCATCTTGTACACCAGGCCGTACTTGCTTCGCATTCTTCCTTCGCTCGGGACTCTCTTATCGGCCATCGATCGTTTAAGCTTAATTCCACTTTGGATCATGTGCTAAGCAAATTAGGCTTCCTTTGCACGCAATCTTTAAAAATAATAAATAGCAAATGGAAATGAAATGAAAATAGAAAGAGATAAACTGATTCGTTTAACTATTTGAACCATAAATATATACTGGTATGATTGCATTTGATTGATAGATTGTGAATTTTTTTTTTTTTTGAAAATAAATATTTTTTATATCGTTAGATTAAGTTCGCCTTTTTTTTAAAGTTTGTAAATCGCTTGTAAATTATAGATAGAATGCTTTAAATTTATATTTCACAATAATTGAGTTTTTAGAGTCAAAGATAGATTTATTTTTGACAATCAAATTATTATATTCAAATAAGAATAATGTATTCAAAAAAGGATTGTATATTGTATATAAGATAGATATAGATAATATTATTTGAACTATTTTATATGATAAGAAATTTTATAAATAGTTTTTTTTAAATTTTTTTGAAGTTATAGATAAATATTGCAAAATCTTTAATTTTATTCTGTTTTTTAAATTAATCATTACATTATAAAATAATAGATTGAAATTTAACATTCTTGTTGATACCAAGATAATTGATATGATAATTTTATAATAGTCAATTAAATGCTTAAAATAACTGCAAAAAATAAATAAATTAGAATAGGAAATTCATTTTCAATCTGCTTACTTTCTAAGCATTACATTCGATTATTATTTAAAGCAAAGCATTATTTAAAGCAAAGCATCTATTTAACGAATATTTAATAATTTAAAATTTTTTGTATAGTTTGAAAATATTTTTTAATTTTTTTTCTCCAATTAAAAATTAATTATCAATTATTTTTTAATGTTTATTATTCTTTTTTTAAAGTAAATTGTTAAAAAATGTAGAATATATTAATCAAAATATAAAATAATATTTTTGTGGTATTTATGAGATACTATGAATTTGATAATATATTTTTATTTTAATATTTAAATTTTATTTAAAAAAAAATAATGCTTTAATTACTTCATGTTTCTTTTCTAATTTTTAAAAACTAATTGATTAATTGATAATTGAAAAAATTAATTTAATTACATTATTTTATTTATATTTACATTATTTTATTCAGTATAAAAAAATTTAAAAATCTTCAAGATCTTAAAAAATTACTATGAAATCAGATTAACATTTATTTGACAACATAAAATATAAAAATGATATTAAATTTTCCCTAAAATAATGAAAATAAATTATTCGAGTTAATAATCAATATTTCAATTAAGAAAATGAATTATAATAGTATTATTTTAATAAATATTGCAAGATAATCTATAGAATTTTATGAAAAATTTAATACATATGTTTTATATATTTTTCATAAATAATATATTATATATTTTAAATAAATATATTATATATTTTTGTTTTATTTATAGAAATGGATTACGATTATGATTCATAATACTTTTACATGATAATTATTGTATGATCAATTTATAGTAAATATAATCATTCAAAACAATTCGTATTTAAAGAAATTTAATAATAATAAACAAAAATTCTGATTATAATATAATAAAAATTGCAAAAAAATAATAGTAGATACACATATTTTTTACATAATATAAAATGATCATTTTTAGTCTATAAATTAATTTTTTACACATAATATAAAATGATCATTTTTAGTCTATAAATTAATTTTTTTAAATAAATATTATATTAAGAAAATTTAAAAAAATTATTGTTATGTATACAAACTATATATAATATTAAATAATAATAAATAAGTAAATATATATATATATTTTATTATTTTAATATTTTTTATATTAATATTTTATATTTTCATATATATAAATTTACGAAAATAAAAAATTTATTTAACTGAAATTTTTTTCATTTAAGGAAAAAATATATTGATAATAAAAAATCACTGAACTTATATTACATACATATAGTATATATTACATAGTATATATTACATACATATACTAATTTTTATTATATATAAATATAGAAATCAATTAATTTAATAAATATTAAAAATGAAAAAAAATATAAATATTAATAAACATAGAGAAAAGAATAAAATCTGAATAAAATCTTTTTTATGAATATAATGATTTAATTGATTAACGATTGATTGAAAATTTCAAAAATAAAAAAAATATTAAATTATATAATATAAGTAGTAATATATATATAATATAGTATAATATATATATATATATATATATATATATAATATAGTATAATATAGTATAATATAATAGTATAGTATAATATAATATAGTATAATAAAGTATATAAGTTATTTTAAAAAAAAATTTAACTTATATTGATTTCCATATGAATCTTTATATGTTTTAAATTATAAAAATCATATTAACTTTACAATATCTTGATAATACAATTATTAATATATTTCAGTTTTATATATTGCACTTGCACATAGAAATTTATTTAATAAATAATATTTATGTAAGATCTAAATATTTCATTCTTTCAACTTGATATATTTATAATTTCATTTTCATGAAATATAAAAATAAACAGATATTTTATTACTTTTTTTATAATTATATCAATTTAAAGTTTTTCTGATAATTCAAAATTTATTAAATATGCAACTTGTTTCAGATTGGTTTGTTTAACCTTTAAAAATAGAATAATTGGATCACTGTTTCTGAATGAGAAATGTGTGAGCAAAAGCAGCGAACGGAATGAGAACAGGTGTATCAAGTATAGAAAAAATTATAATACAATAAAGAAAACAAATAATTAAATAAAACGTTGTGTGATTATTCTAACTGGTGGTTATTCTAATGGAAAGTTAAGTGAAATATGAAAATCGTCGAAATAATTGAAAAAACTTAAATTAAAAATATAAAGTATTGTTATATATATTTGATAAAAACGGATATTTTATTTTATATTATTTATTTCTTATTCTTTTATATTTTTTACTCATTTATCCTATATTCTGTTATGTTTTCAATTATATTCAATTATATAAACTTTGTATATAAACTTGTTAGGTTAATGTTAAATTAATCTTTTAGATATTTCTTTTTAAGAAAATTATTATATATTTATAAATTTTTATTGTATTGTGTGGGCATTGTTATTATAAGTTTTTTATATATTCAATATATAATCTATCTTATGCAAAAATCTTTATATTTTCTTTATTATAATTATAAATATTATACGATTTTAAAAGAAAGCAACCATTTTTTTCAAATGATTTAAAAAAAAACATTAAAAGAGTCTATTATGCTTTTAATTAACTAATTGATATATATATTCCATGATTGATATACCATGAATTGTCTAAGTATGTGAAGAAGACTAGAAAAATGAGAGAAAGTGAATCCAACTGTCTCTTGATGTTGCGTCAACATAATTGCAGGAACGGTTAAGAGAGATTCTCGTGAACTCGTTTGCGAATATTGCATCAGCATTGTAGATGCTGTAAATCGAAAATCAAGCAATACCTATACTTAGTATTAATCGAAATTTAAAAAATATTTTTTCCAAATTAAGAAAAAATATAAAAATATGATCGTATATCTGAAAAGAATCAAAATTAAATTAATTTGTCTATTTATAAATTCAACAAAATATTTAAATTATAATAAATGCATATTTTTTAATATTTCAATATATAAATATTTATTATATTATATATTCGAATTTTTAATCATATATAAACATTTATTACTGTTATAATATAAAATATTGACAAATAGAAATAAATGAAATATTTAATCAAATAAAATATTTTATAATTTTTTTTATTAAAATCTGAATTTATTTTTCTTTCAATATTATTAATTAGTTTCTTTAATATTTAAATACAAGTATATTATTAATAAATTAAAAAATTATTGTATTTTTATAATTTTTATTGTATTTTTAAAATTTATGGTTTTTTATATAAAAAAACTATCTAAATATAAAAATTATTTTTGATAATAAATGTTTAATATAAAACAACAAAATGAATTCTTTAAATTACATACCTGGAGCCAGATTAATCTTCTTTCCTTATTTATTTTCCTTATTTATTTATTACTAGTGCAGGAAAACTGCAACAATCATATATAACGTAGATGTGTGATCTTGAAATTGTTCATACTAATGAATCTCTTTATTTTAAATATAATGTGAATGTATATTTAGTTATTTATAATGTATATATGTAGTTATTTATAATAAAATAAGAAGATGGCAATAAAATAATATATATAATTAAAAAAAACTAAACTTGACTTAATCTAATTTTAAAAATAAAAAATTATTCTTTTATAATTTTAATTTTTTAATTTTGCATTATATTAGATAAGAAATATTATACATATAAAATGAATAATTTAATAGAATTTTGTTAAAATTTAATAATTAAATTAAATAACATTTATTATACACATAATATCAGAAATTTATCTTATTGTTTTATATTATTTAAAATATAGAGTTATTTAAAAACAGAGTTAAATATAACATAAGCAAAGTTTTGTTTTATAAATAGCTTTAATATAATTATAAAAATAGAATATAAATTAAACTAAACAAATCCATATTTGAATTATATTGAAAATACTTTTGTTATATTGAAACTTTGACTTGAAACTTTGACAAAACTATGACAAAAACTGTTTTAAGCATTTATATTTATAATTTTTAAATAAGAAGTTTCATTAAGAGAATAATCAATTTTATGTAAAAAATTTAAATTAATCACACAATAAACATACATCATTACTAGTGACGATTACTTACAAATTATAAATATTAAAAAATTATTAAAAAATTATCTTCTTAATGATGATCAAATTTTAAAAATAAATTAAAAAAATTTTTAATCATTTGATCATTTTATTTGAAATTATAAAACTTAAAAAAAAAGTTCTAATAATCTAATAACTTGTAATTTGTTAATTTATTTGTTAATTTATATATTAATAATATATATAACTAAATTACTAAATTATTATAATTATTATATAGAGAAATTAAATAATCAACAATATATCAAGAAATTATGAATAACTATTAATTAAAAATTTTAATTGTCGTTTAAATAATTATAACTTTGCTTATTAAAAATGAAGGATATTCAATTTAATAGATTATATTTATATTTTTTAATATTATAATGAAATTATAAATTTGAAATTGAAAATTTTAAAAATTTTATTAAAAATTTCATTATTAAATCTGTAATTAAATTTGTAGAATAAACAATTTCAAATTAT